CAATCTCGAGCCCAGAGTCTTCACGGCTAATGTCAGCGGTATGCTGACGCCGGAAAGACTCTGGAGGAATCGACTGGATTTGCGACGCTTTTCCGTCGCAAATTATGCAAATTAGGTCAGTTTTGTTTTTGCCGCTTTAGAGCATCAAAATGACAAAAAAGAAGAAGGTTTAGCACACAACTTAGTTTAGGAACAGTATTGACACCTTTTAAAAAACACAAATGTGTGAAAACATGTGTGGTTATGCGATAAAAGTATGATATTTTTGATCAAACAGGCGAGCGCGCGCTGGCGACTTGAAAAACCGATTTGAAAACAATGCGCGCTCGCGTCATTTTCAACCAATCACGAATCGAGAAAAAATTGTTTCCTCCAGAGTCTCTCACGCATTGACATCCGCTGGATGGCAAAAGTGTGGGCTCTGGGTACGAGATTGAAACACAAGAGGAAAACCGCAAGCGCGCGCTATATTTGCCTGATTTGCTTGTTGATTTACTTTGGATTTGTGGATTACCTGTGGTGCTACGTCACGATCCCGCACCTCGCGGGTCGTGTAGACCCGCGAGGCCAACCTCGTTCTCAGGGCTACGCTGCGCCCAGAGATAGGCTATCTCTGTCCGCCATTTTGAAAAAAGCGAGCAGAGTAGCCCTGGAAACGAGGTTGCCGCGAGGCAAGGGATCGTGACGTAATACCACAGGTAATCCGCAATTTTGCTAAGAGCGTGCGCCGATAACATATTTTAAAAGCGTGCGCATTCGTTCTTTTGAGTCTCTAAAGCAATAGTTGCGCGTCCTATGGGTGGGCGGCATCGAGCGTCGGGATGCTATTTCATGCGTGCGCTTATTGTCACCAGTTTCCCTATAGGACTCTGGGTATAAAAATCACAGGAAGCCCAAATAAGGTGGTTTTCAAAGATATACCACTATTTCAACTATTTCAATTTTTTGAATTTCTTTTCATCAAGCCATATTTGAGGATCGTTAAACTTTCTTTATGTGCACTTTATGGGAGTATTTTGCAACAGGAGATCGCGTGAGTTTTCAAAAGCAATTGCGCCTCGCGTATCACGTCTGACGGCGCATTTCAACTCGCTCGAATAATGGCGGTCTAAAAAATGAGAAATTTATCAGGCAAGTAATGCATGCATTGATCTCGTAAACCGCTTTGAACCGATAACTATGGGGTGTTTTTTATATTGTTTTAAAGGTATATTTTTCAAGAATTGATTCACTTACACTGGAAAAAATTGCGCGCTTTAAAGGTTGTAAATTTGATGTAAATATGATGTAAGTGTCCAAAATTCTGTAAATTTAATGGAAATGATTTACATCAAATTTACAGAATTTTGGACACTTACATCATTTTACATCAAATTTACAACCTTTAAAGCGAGCGATTTTTTCCAGTGTTATCAGTAAGAATAGCACTTTAAGCGATGCAAAACATGAAATCTTTGGTCAGAGAGACGGAATTTTTGAAACGAAATAACTAGTTTAAGTTTCTTTTAGCTCCAATGTGTGCTCCACAAGCACTTATGTTACAGTTCGTACAACATACAGAACTCATCGGTGGGGTTACAGAGACTACTACTCCAAATGTGGTCTATGGGGATGGAGTAGATGTAAACGAACAAGGTACGTTATACGTTTGTGACAACTGTTTCCTACATAGGCGGCCTTCCGCTTTTTCCACAGGGAGCCCAATGACAGATACAGCTAAACATGGGCTTGGACTTCAATTAAACACAATTATCTATCTGATCGTTTTGTGCTCTTTTTGTCCATAACTACAGATCTTATCGAATTTACTATCAAGGAACAAGGTATACCTCCCAACGCCAGATCCGCTATTACTGCTGCTCAGGGTGGGAAAAGTCGTATTCGGGAAGCAGACACTGCAGTTCACGTAAGGTTGTTGGTTTATTCGATCGTTTTGTCTTTTTTTTGTGTGTGTGTTTCCCTACAGCCTCGTTTCCAATTCTTTTGTACATGAAAAGTCATCTAGAATATATCGAAAACGGGCTATGCCCAAAGTTGTACAAACTGCCCAATATCTCTTGACTACAAGCCATAGTTTTTCATTGTTTCTTATATGTAGAATTTAACGGAATTCATGAGATCAAATTATCATTTTAACTATTTCAAATATCAGCGATTTGTCACCAATCTTGTTACCATGGCAGCTGTTCTCGTCCAAACACTTGCTCCTGTTACAGTGGATGGAGAGGATATTATTGTAATACAGGTAGGTAAGGGATGGTCCATGTAACTTTTGAAAAAAAAAATCCTTCAAGCCATCTTCGCCAAAAATAAAAATCATGCACAACATATGGACCTGAAAAAAAAACTTGCACCACCCTAAGCCCCAAAAAGATGTTACATACAAGAAAAAAAATCCTACACACCACCAAGAGAAAAAAAAATATCCTACCCAAAAGCAACGAAGAAAAAAAAATCTTGCTCACAAGAAATCATCCACCCCCACCCCCCTCCCTCAAAAGTTAAATGGACCGTCCCTAAAACGTCCTGCTGATTAAACTGCTATATGTTTAATCTGCGTCATTAACTTCTGCATGCTCGAACCCGTTCTGCTAAATTTTGTTCACTGATATAAATCGATGCATTTTCAGACTTCTCATTCCCAAGCTATCTTACACTGTAATTTTGAATACGCCGTTATTTCTGGCTAACGCTTGTGTCCGTGCACAATAGATTTGTCAGAGTAAGACATTATTGGATAGATGACTGTAAAAACGTCGAGTAAATTCTGAATGCAGGATTTGTCGTTGGTCTGTCCTTTTGTGCCAAATTATCACCATGACGTCATGAGACGTTATCGCGTTTGGACGCATTCTCGTAGTTTTTGACAATGTTTATCGAAAACAACAATGAATTCCTTTTTGGAAATACCTTCTCAAGATATCCTTTTACCGATGGTGCTTTGTTTATTTTCTTGTTTATATCAATAGATATCAATGAATGTAGTTCCTATAATCGTGGTGGTTGTCAGCAGCTTTGCACAAATACTGCGGGCTCATACAGATGTGGATGTAATTCAGGATACACTAAAACTGGCAAAAGATGCATAGGTATATTTTACTATGGAAAAAGCTTTCCGCGTCTAGCCTCCTCCGCTACTTAGCTCTAACGATCTCCTTGGCCCTGTGCTGAAAAAGAACTGCATCTAGAGTTAACTGCCGAGGAGGTTTATTCACACCATTTTAGAAGGTGCCCTAAAGTAATTTGCCTATGATTGTAGATTACAATGAGTGTAATACGTCACCGTGTAAGTGTGCTTCGCTCATTAA